TGCGGAAAGGATGTTTTCTCTTGTGGGTCAGTCTAGAAATAGAGATACTTTTACAATTAGTGGTTCACCCTTTTAGGACACAGATGAGAATGTTTTATTTTGAGGGTTTGCGACCTAGGAACGCTCTGCCTCAGATGGAGGCGGGGTCATTGAATATTAGTAGCAATTTGTTTCCATTGCATAACAAAAATCTAAGCTTATGAGGAATAGATGGAAACAGATCAGCCTTGATCTCATTGAATTTGGAGCAGGCTCAAGAGGCTGAATTGTTTATTTCTGTGCATATTTCATTTGTTAATTTGACAGCAGCTTCCAAACCCCCTAATGTCTACCATCTAAAAGGTCACAGACAGCAGATACACGGAAATCCCACCACCTCTTAAGTTCCCCTCCAAGCCACTCACCATCCTGAATTGGAAGTGTATCACCATCCCTGCACTGTCACTAGGTCCAAATCCAGGAATTCCCTTACTCTCAGCATCTTGGGTCTCCTTATATCTTTACGGCAGCAGTGCTTCAGGAAGGCAGCTCTGTGCTACTTGCAAAAGGGGCAATCAGAAAAGGCAATGCTGACCGAGCCATGACACCCACATCCCACAAATGAACAAGGAACAAAGAAGATTACAGCACACGAACAGGCCCTTCAGCCCTCCAAGCCTGCACTGATCCAGATCCTCTATCTAAACCTGTCGCCTATATTCCAAGGATCTGTATCCCTCTGCTCCCTGCCATTCATGTATCTGTCTAGATACGTCTTAAATGACACTATCATGTTGGCTTCTAACACCTCCGCTGGCAACGCGTTCCAGGCACCCACCACCCACTGCGTAAAGAACTTTCCACGCATATCTCCCTTAAACTTTTCCCCTCTCACCTTGAAATCATGACCCTGACTCTGGGAAAAATCTTCTTGCTATCCACCCTGTCTATACCTCTCATGATTTTGTAGACCTCAGTCAGGTCCCCCCTCAACCGACATCTTTCTAATGTAAATAATCCTAATCTACTCAACCTCTCTTCATAGCTAGCGCCCTCCATAGCAGGCAACATCCTGGTCAACCTCCTCTGCACCCTCTCCAAAGCATCCACATCCTTTCGGTAATGTGGCGACCAGAACTGTACGCAGTATTCCAAATGTGGTCGAACCAAAGTCCTATACAACTGTAACATGACCTGCCAACTCTTGTACTCAATACCCCATCCGATGAATGAAAGCATGTCGTATGCCTTCTTGACCACTCTATCCACCTGCGTTGCCACCTTCAGGATACAATGGACCTGAACACCCAGATCTCTCTGTGCATCAATTTTTCCCCAGGGCTTTTCCATTTACCGTATAGTTCGCTCTTGAATCGGATCTTCCAAAATGCATCACCTCGCATTTGCCTGGATTGAATTCCATCTGCCATTTCTCCGCCCAACTCTCCAATCTATCTATATTCTGCTGCATTCTCCAACAGTCCCCTTCACTATCTGCTACTCCACCAATCTTAGTGTCATCTGCAAACTTGCTAATCAGACCATCTATATCTTCCTCCAGATCATTTATATATATCACAAACAACAGCGGTCCCAACACGGATCCCTGTGGAATACCACTGGTCACAGTTCTGCATTTTGAGAAACTCCCTTCCACTACAACTCTCTGTCTCCTGTTGCTCAGCCAGTTCTCTGTCCATCCAGCTCGTACACCCTGGACCCCATGCAACTTCACTTTCTCCATCAGCTTACCATGGGGAACCTTATCAAACGCCTTACTGAAGTCCATGTATATGACATCTACAGCCCTTCCCTCATCTATCAACTTTGTCACTTCCTCAAAGAATTCTATCAAGTTGGTAAGACATGACCTTCCCTGCACAAAACCATGCTGCCTATCACTAATAAGCCCATTTTCTTCCAAATGTAAATAGATCCTATCCCTCAGTCTCTTCTCCAGCAGCTTCCCCACCACTGACGTCAGGCTCACCGGTCTATAATTACCTGGTTTATCCTTGCTACCCTTCCTAAACAAGTGGACAACATTAGCAATTCTCCAGTCCTCCGGGACCTCACCCGTGCTCAAGGATGCTGCAAAGATATCGGTTAAGGCCCCAGCTATTTCCTCTCTCGCTTCCCTCAGTAACCTGGGATAGGTCCCATCCGGACCTGGGGAATTGTCCACCCTAATGCCTTTTAGAATACACTTCCCCCTCCTTATGCGACTTGACCTAGAGTAATCAAACATCTATCCCGAACCTCAACATCCGTCATGTCCCTCTCCTCAGTGAATACCGATGCAAAGTACTCATTAAGAATCTCACTCATTTTCTCTGACTCCTTGCATAACTTCCCTCCTTACTTCCCTCCTTTGTCCTTGAGTGGGCCAACGCTTTCTCTAGTTACCCTCTTGCTCCTTATGTATGAATAAAAGGCTTTGGGATTTTCCTTAACCCTGTATGCTAAAGATATTTCATGACCCCTTTTAGCCCTCTTAATTCCTCGTTTCAGATTTGTCCTACTTTCCCGA